AATCCTTTGTGATGGTTTAAGGACTTGTCTAGAGTTAAAAGTGCTGTACACTGAGTGAAAATCCATGCTAGTTGAGGAATTGATTCTTTTTAAAGGAAAGCTGCAAATTTTTCTTGTATGGATAAATGTCACTGGTCATATCTCCGCTTAGCTGCAACTTGGAACTTGTACGATTTTACTGCGTTGTCATAGAAACGCAGTTTACTCTCATCTTAACTAAGACTGTTGATGGTTTTATTTGTAGGTTTGCCCGATTATTAAAATTTAACCAAAATGATTTGCTTTTACTAACACTGGGTGGTTTTTCATGGAAGTTCAAATCATACAGAAGCCTTTTTTTGTGTTTAAATTTTTTAAAAAGTGAAATTCTATTAAATCTGCTTGATTTTTAAAAAAAAAATTTTTATTCAAAATGTGATATATAGACTGCAGCAGTAGAATAACCTCTGTGAATTGTATTTTTGAATCACTTTCCATTTTCTTTGTTTACAACAAGCAGAAAAAAAACCTTAAAGTTCACCTTTAGCTTGCTTTAACTTAACATGAAAGATACCTGTCAGAAAAGCGTGAAAGGCTATATCAAGTGCCTAATGTTGGAGTTTTTATTTTATTTATGGTTTTTGAAGCCTAGCATGAATGCTTCAGTGAATTGTGTTGTGAAAGTATTTATTTTTGTATATTTATGTGAGAGGAATTACTTAGTTTTCACTTATAAATAAGACAGGCAAACCTCATTTACAGTAACTTTATCTAATGGTCTGTGGATGAGTGCTTTTATGTAAAATAGTCAAGAGGCTAGAATTAACTTTTCACATTGGATGCACATTTGATGTCCAGACTTGAGCAACATGTGGCATCTTATTATAAAGACTACCATTCAGGATTCAATTTGTATTTAACACATTTACTTCAGAATGTACACATTATTTTTCCACATTTAATGTTAACTTTGTAATGATTTCTATTTCTTGCTTGTAAGTGTATAAGTAGAGTGTTAATTTGTTTATTTGTTGCCCCCTTTTTTGGTGATTTTCCTTTTTCTAGGTTCTTTATACTTGGTTAATTAGCTATTTCATATTTTATTTTAATAGCAGGTCATTTTTTGACATGTAAGAGCTCCTTGGGTTGAGTTGATTATCATTAGCTACTTTTTTAAAGAAGTATATAGATAACTATGCCTATTATAAACTTATTCTTGCAAAATAACTATGCTTTTGGATAACTGGGCTTATTTTAAACTTATTCTTGCAAAATTAATAGTAGTTAACACTGTCTTTGATTTTAACACTCTGTTACTAAATAAACAACTAATAGCTTGTGTATACTTAGAGAAGAAAAATTGACAGCTCATCATACACATGGAATACTGATTTTTTAAAACCAGGTTTATTGCTCTTAAAATGTAATTACTACTCTTGTAGCTAAACTACACGATGGCCTCTAATGATCCTCACCTATTTTTCCTGCCCTTGTGTTCTCTCTTCCCACTCTGAATCATGGCTGACCTGTATGATCAACAGAATATTGCTGAAGTGTCAGTGTACGACCTCTGAGGCTAGGTCATATATAACATTGAAGCTTCCAGTTTTCTTTCTCTTGAATCACTTACTCTGGGGGAAGCCACCTTTCATGTCCTTAGGAGAGGTCCATGAGGCAAGGAACTATAAAGCCTCCTGTAACAGCCAGCACCAGCTTGCCAACCCTTTGAGTGAGCCATCATGGAAGCACATACTCTACCCCATTCAAACCTTCAGATGGTTGCAACCTCACCTGACATCTTGCCTGCGGTCATATGAGAGGCGTTGAGTCTGAATCACATAGCTAAGCTACTCTTGTATTGCTTATCCACCGAAACTGTAAAATACTACATATTTGTTGTTTTAAGTTAGTAAATTTTGGTGTAAAATTGACAGCAATAGATAACTAATGCACCTGCTAAATAAACACATTTTAAAACATTTTCTATTGATCCTGTAGCTCATATTATTTGTAGACATAAATATTGGAGGCTTACGTTGTGATTTGTAGCATCATTTTCATAGGAGATTGGGTAGTGTGTTATTCAAAGCATTGTTTCTAGAACATTTATAACTGAATTTGAGTTTTGTCTTTTTGGTGTGTGTTTTGATGAAATTACTTAAAATTTCTTATCATCAGGGTCTACTGAAAATTTGTAAAATGGAATAAATATACTTAAGTCTCCATAGTGTGTTTTTAAAGTCAGTATGAAATGAGATATCTGATACTAAGCCGATGACATAATGTTTGCTATGTCTCATCCTTCCATTTATGCACAAATTAGCCTCTTTCCATGTGAAGATACCGTTTTTTGCCCTAGAGGTAAAGACTTTGGTATACCTTTGACTTTGCAGTCTCTTCCTCGTGTGTCCTATCAGTCTTATATACTTCAGTAGGCCCAGCACTTCTTACTCTATGAGTCATTTTTTCTTTACTTAATTTTCTTTTTACTGTTATATGCCTTGGTGTGATTTTCTTCATATTTATCATGCTTGGGGTTGCAGAGCTTCTTGAATTTGTGGGTTGATGTCTTATGTTTTAATAAATTCTCAGATAGAGAGCAGGCAGACAGCTCTGGTGGGGAGTTTTTTTTGGGGGGTGGAGGGATTGAGCAAAAAAGAAAAAAAAAAGGAGAAAGAACTCAGGGGTAGGGACAGTAGTGTTGTGATTGCAGGTGGGTGGTAGGTGGAGATGGAAGAAGGTATGGGGGGATAAATGGTGATGAAAAAAATAAAGTCTCTAATAAAAAAATTCTCGGTTGTTACCTCTTAAATGTTGCTCCTGCCTCCCTCCCATTTTCCTTAACTTTCTGGGACTGTAATTAAAAGTATGTTAGGCCTTCTTACTGTGTTCCACATATCTCACACATTCTTTTCTTTTGTTTTTTTTCACCCATTTTTTCCCCCCCCCAGGCTTCCCTTTGAATATATTTGATCTTATCTTCTACTTTGCTAATGTTCTGTTAAACCATCTATTGAGTTCTTAATTTCAGTTCTAAAACTTTTGATTCTTTTTTACAGATTACAACTCCCTGTTGAAAGTTTCTATCTTTTCATCTATTTTCTCCATCATTTCCTCTGTTTTTGTGAACATAGTTATGTTAGTCATAGTTATATTAAAGTTCTTTTCTGCTAACTGCAATATCTAGATCACCCATAGGCCTGTTTTTATGGTCTTTTTTTCCTCCTTGATTTTTAGTCATTTGGTCCTGTCTTGTGGCATACCCAGTAATTTTTTATTGAATTTTCAATATTGTAAGTGAAAATTCCCGGGAGAAGTTTTCTTTCTCCCAGGAGTCACCCTTCCCTTTACTGGGCAGATAGGTTGGGGTTATTTACCTTACTCCAATCCGAGATTGAAATGAGTCAAAGCTAGATTGACATTTTGGTAAGCATTTTTTTGTGTGTTCCTTAGAATCTGTGGTGGTGTTCACAGGACCTCATTTGCTGATGGCTTCTGAACATTAATTCTTATTTTCTCAGCATATCAAAGCAACTGGTTTGTTTGCATTTTTTGAGGCTTTCTGTTTAGCTTTTTAGCTTCACATCTCATACAGGTTTGAAAATTGGGAGTTGTCTCATGGGGAAAAGTATCTGCCTTACTCTTCCACTGGGATCTTAGCCCCTCAAGTCTCCAATTTGTCACGCTATGCCGACAAGTACCAAAAGGTTTGCTGCTTTCCATACCTTCAGCAGTAGCCATCTTCCCAGGCAAGAGCTTGGGTTTTCAGCTCCTGTCCTGTACCCAGAATTGGTACATCCCACTAGGAAGAATGGCTGTAGAATGTCAGCTTACCTCACCTCACCATCCTTTCTCCGCCACCTTGGAATCATTCATGGTCCTTGTAGTTCAGGTTGCCTCAGCAGCCCTTTAATTGGTGCCTTTAGACTGATGTTGCAATATATTTTGTTAAGCCTTTCTGCTTATTCTGGGTTGGAACATTGATGTGCGTAAGCTACTCGAGTACTAGCTGGAAGGTGAAGGCTATACAATTATTTTTAAAGGGAAAGTCCATGAGTAGATTATTTTTATGAACTTCTGTTTTGGCCAGCTTTATCCTATCACAAGTATTGATATATATATATACATTGTTTTGGTTTCTCATTACATACTGATGCAGTAAAGTAAAATCTTTTTCTGAATCACTGTAATGATTTTTATAACTATCCTTGATTCATTAATTAATGGCCATTATAATCAGTAGAGATTCCTAACTTTATTCCATAGCCATGAGGATTAAGGATATCTTATACTGTTTCAACAGTGAGGTTAAACATATGAAGTTAATAATAATAATACCTATTAAATTATTAAGAAATTTTAATGCATAAGTAGGTTTATTTATATGAGATTAAACAAACATCTTCTAACATAAACTAAATAATGATTGTTCATGGATTATCAGTTATTTAAAAGAAATATTAAAATTTTTTTATCTGAAGGGGAAGAATACATTTTGCTTTATATAAAATTTACAATTTTCTTTCACTTTGATTTAATTTTTATAATTATATTTTCTAATTAAAATGAGATATTCTTATCTCAAATCTGACAAAAATATTTATGCTCTTGAAATACAATAATGTCCTTTAGAGATTTATTGTATTCCTCTCTTATTGCTGTGAGTTTTTATGACCCTGAGATCATAATGACAAGTGTTTTGCTGACTTACTTTCTTTGGTATATGTCTGCATAGTGGACCAGGCAGTTTTGTATTTAATATGCCAAAGTTGATTACTGTTAAAGTAAGCGTGGATAATCCTGTTTTCAGCTTTTGAATTTATTCTACTAGTGCATTTGTAGCAGTTGATACACCCAGTTGGAAAAGTGAAACATGAAGATCTTAACCTTTAGCTGTGGTTGTAGTTATTGATAATCATTGAGGGAACTGTCTCTGGGTCCCCCTTAAGAAATGTGTTTTGGGTCTCTGACAATATCAGATAAATCCATGTTGGCTATCATTTTCTCTGCTTTTTGTGCAGGAAGAAGAGAGTGAAGAGGAGCCCAAACTCAAGTATGAAAGGCTTTCCAATGGGGTAACTGAAATCCTTCAGAAGGATGCAGCTAGCTGCATGACAGTCCATGACAAGGTAAGGTAGCCCTTACAGATCATTCTTCTGTAAGTCATTCTATTGTAAGTTTTTTTATACTTTGGAGTCCTGATGCTTTTAGTGTTTAGTGGTGGTTTTTCGCAGTAATTGTGTCTTTCTGCCACTCTTCCTCTCTTCTTCCTCACCATAAAAAATCAACACAGTGGCCAAAAATACTATATATATAT